CAGTTATCCAACCATCACTACAAATCAAATTTTGAAAATTTTATCACCCTCTAACAGAAACCATAGACTCATACCAAATATGGTGGTTTTTTTAATACTGTTTTTTTTTCACTTGGTAATATTCAAGATTCACTCTTGTAGCATTTATAATGTTCCATTGTATGGTTCCATTTTTTTTTTTCTTTTGTTTCTTGAGACAGGACTCACCTTGTAGCCCAGGCTGGCTTCATACCATAATTCTGGCATTAGCCTCCTGAGTGCTGGGATTACAGGCATTCAACACCATATCCTGACCTTAGCTCCACATTTTATCTATTCATCAATGGGTGAACATTTGGGGTTTTCTGTATTCCTTATATTTTACATGTATTTTGCAAATAGTTTTGGTGTACCTATTTGATTTAAGTGAAAATTAAATGATACCAGCAAGGGTCAAGGGCATAATTCAAGAGGTAGAGCACCTACCCAGCAAGTACAAGGACCTGAGTTCAAACTGCGATACCACCAAAAAAATAATAAATGTTGCCAGCAAAATATCCTGAGTTATGAAGAAGCTGCTTCTCAAGTCAGGGAGGTAACCAGCGAGGGCTGCGTGAAGAGATGGCATTTACAGTCCTCCTTGAGGAACAGGTACAGGATTCAGGTGAAACTGGAAAACATGGGAGTCAGGTGATGGCCAGATTGGGGGAAGAATGTGAGCTATGCAGGGTGGAAGGGAACAAAGAGGTTTCCCCAGCTCAGATGAAGAGATCAAGGTGGTAGAAAAGGAGACAGGCTGGCAGATCAGGCCTGGTTGTGCTGCCACTTTGTTCCATTCAGAGAGGCAGCCTGCACAGGTGCTTTGCCATCCCTAGGACAAGTGCAACTAGCTCTAGGTTTTTCATGGCCTGCTTTGCCTTACCAGTTCCAGGACACAGGAGCATTCTAACCTAGGAGTGTAATGGTGGCAGATGGGCAGCATGAGTCCAAATGCCACTCCAGTCACAGCTAAGGACAGGGATGATAATGTTCCTCACAGGAGTGTTTTTGGGCTGGCAGTGACATGCAGGATACTGTGACAGCACAGTGCCTGGCACCTGCTCAGCTCTACAAGACCATGAGTTTTAGCCAAACCAGGGTCTCTCGGCTCACATTCCTACTATCGATCAGCCAATAGAAACTTTTCATTCCAGCTGTGGTAACCTGAAAGGGAAAATCCAGTTCTAGTGAGTTCTGGTATGACTAGACCATTTACATTGCACGTAATTTTTAAACACCTTTGGATTAAATTCTACCTTCTCACTAGTTTTTCTGATTTGAGTGCTTATATATTAGCCACCAAATTATCATTTATGCTTTGTGTGTGTGTGTGTGGTACTTGGTGATTGAACCCAGAACTTCATACTTGTTAGACAAGTGCTCTTCCTCTTGAGCCAAGCCCTTATCCTATTATTTGGGGATTTTTTTGTTTTGTTTGTTTTGGTACTGGGGATTGAACCCAGGGCCTTATACATGCTAGGCAAACACTTACCACTGAGTTACCACCCCTGTTTTTCTGTTTTGTTTCTGAGATAGGTCTCACTTCGTTCAGGCTGGCCTTGAAGTCACAGTGATCTTCCTTACTCTGTTTCTCAAGTAGTAGAGATTACAGGTATTACTGCTGCTTTTGCTTCTGACATGTTGTTTGCTGTTTTGTTGCTTTTGTTTTGGTTTTTAGTGGTCCTGGAGTTTGAACTCAGGGCCTCACATACTTACTAAGCAAGCAGTCTACCACTTGACCCACTCCCCAAGCCCTTTTTTGCTTTAGTTATTCTTCAGATAGGGTCTTACATTTTTGCCTGGGATCAGCCTCATACCACAATCCTACCTATGTTCCACAAGTAGGATTACAGGGACACATCACCACATCTTACTTGTTGATTTGAGATGGGATTCCCAATAACATTTTGCCCAAGCTGGCCTCAAACTGCACAATCCTCCCAATCTCTGCCTCCCGAATAGCTGGAATTATAGGGATGAAACACCATGCTTAGCCTCTAATGTATCATTTAGGACATTTTTCAACCTGTATTTAAAATGGCTACCATCTAACCATTCCTAAAGACCTTCATTTTCTCTATATGAATCTAATTCTCTGTCTGAAGAATTCTTTTTCTTGTAACTATCATTTCTTATAATGTGGATTTGATGGCTGTGCATTCTCTCCATTTAAAAAAAATTATTTCTCTTTCCTTTTTTAAAGCTATTTTCACTAGGCTGAACCTAAGACACCCAGTTGTAACCTGGGACCACAGTTTTATTGTTTCCCTTCAGTGCTTTTGGGACCTGGCCCTTCTGACTCGATACTCTCCAATGGAGTGTCTGCTGCAGTTCTTACACTTGCTGCTCTGTATACTGTGTCTTTTTTCCTGTGATTGCCTTTCATTTTTTTTGTTTGTTTGTTTTTGTTTTTGGTGGGACCAGGGTTTTCTACCCAGGACTTCATGCTCGCAAAGCAGGCACTCTACTCCAGTCCACTTTGCTGTTTATTTTGGAGATGAGGTCTTGTGAACTATTTCCAAAGGCTAGCCTCAAACCTCAGTCCTCATAATCTCAGCTTCCCAAGTAGCTAGGATTACAGGCAAGAGCCATTGGTGCTTGGGGTAATTGCTTTAAAACAGTTGTAGTATTTTGTGCCTTTTTTTTCCTTTTCTTTTGAGTATCTTGTAATTTTTATTGAATGCCAGCTATCATTCATAGGACATACAGATAGGATAAATAGTAAATAGCATGTGTGTCTGGAGATTTAGTCTCTCCATCTGGGTGGCCAGAGTGTAAACCTGAGTTAGTCCAGTCAGAAGCTGTGCTGGGTTTGGTTTTGTTGCTTATGATTACTTTGCATACACCACAGTGTCATATTCCTCTAGTGTTTTCTTCATAGGGCCTGTACCTCAGAGAGGTTCCTCTACTGTTGCCTCATCCTGGTTGTAGCCTGCTGCATATCATACAGGGTTTGCTGGCTTTGGGGTGGGAGGCTGAGGACTGTGCTGTCCTGCAGCCCATCTTCAATCAGCAGATGCCATGTTGTTGGGTCTCAAGGGTGAGACTTCTTCCCTGATTCTGCCACTTTTCTAGCTGGGGGAGACCTCTGGGCCTAGAATCAGAGGTAGTGGGTGTTTTCTTTTCTCTTCTCCCAACCACAGTGACTGTTACCAGTTGGATGTGCATTGCAATTCCCTTCCGGGCATCTAGGGGTATCGGATATTGCCTTTGGCACACTAGGTTGGCTCCTGGTTTGATGGTGACCAATATCGGAGGGTGTCCCGTTGCCAGCCTGATTCACTTGTCTTGGTCCCAAACAACTGGGAATCACTCCATGAGATGAGCTAGGAATGGTTGAGGACTGACAGGTTTATTGTCCCTTGGGGTGTGTATGCACCACTCTTCTTCAAGACTAACTTCCCAGGTTAGCACCGGCAAGGCACTCATGTCAGGTGGTCCGAGATCCATAGATACTGTGGTGCCCAGTTTAGAAAGTAAGTCTCTTCCTAGAAGGGGGCCTGGAGCCTCTGGCACATACAGAAATCGGTGTCTGATCCAGTGTCCACCAACTGCATTCTCGGGGTTTGCAGAACCAGTACTTCTTAGTGTTTCGGGTGGCCCCTCCTTACTGAGCCAACCAGTTGGGGTGGTCATGGTGGAAATGGCCACCCCAGTGTCCAGAATGAAGTTTATTTGGCGGCCCTCAACATCAGTCTTGACCATGGACTCCTGAGGGCCAATCAAAAGGGAGCCTGGTTGGCCTCTGTCAGACTCATTTCCCCAGGCTGCATTTGTCATTAGGCGGCAGCCACCTTTTTTTCCCTTGTTAGGGCATTCATTTTTCCAATGCAGCCACCTTTTTTTCCCTTGTTAGGGCATTCATTTTTCCAATGTCCTTCTTCCTTACAGTATGCACATTTGTTCTTCCCAAGGGAGGTTTTCCATTCTTTCCTGTTGGGGCCCCCTCTCTGGCCTTCAGTCTGTCCTCCTCCCTCCTTGAAGGCCATTGCCAGGATCTTTGCCTTTGTCTCCAAATACTTTTTCCTTTTCCCTTTTGGCCGTTTCTTCGCTACCACCTTGGCTGCTATACTAATGAGTTGGTCAATGTTGGCACCTGCAAAGCCCTCCATCTTTTGCAATTTTCAGCGAACATCAGGGGCAGACTATTGGACAAAGGCAGTGTTAATCATGGATTGGTTCTTGGGGGCCTCAGGGTTAAATAGGGTGTACCAACGGTAGGCATCACATAACCAGTCACAGAACTGGCTAGGCAGCTCATCAGACTTCTTGTGACTTCACTGATCTTGGCGAGGTTGATTGCCCCTCTTGCCCCTTGGCAGGCTCCTCCAGGATAGCTTGTCTCATGTGCTGGATGGATTGGAGCCCATCTGGAGTGTTGGAATCTCAGTCTGGTCTGGTGCCTGGGATTCTCTCATCTCTCCACCGCTCTAGATTTGCAGTCTGTGGTGGAGCTTGTGTGACTAGCCAGGCTCTGGCTGCCTGGTATTCTTGTCTGCACTCATCAGAAGTGAAGACGATGGACATGAGTTGACAACAGTCATCCAGTTGGGCTGGTGGCTGTGCATGATATTGGTTAGGAGCTCTATCACAGCTTGTGGCTCCTCTGAGTATGCTGAGGTGTGCTGTCACCAGTTCAGGAGATCGCTGGTAGTGAATGGCTGATACACATATTGCATGGGTCCAGCCGCATATGACCCATCTGCCTGGGGTAGTGGCGGCCCGGGAGCCTGATGAAGGGGGCATAGGACTGCTGCTGGGCCCCCTCTGTCCTTACTTGTTAGCCTCCTGGAATTCATTGACCTTCCCCAATGGTTCATCTCTTCCTTTGGGGCCATTGGAGGCAAAGGGGGGGTATAATGAGGGAACCGCTGGGTGACATGGGAGAGGTCCGGCCTGATGTTTCTTCCTTTCCATTGGGGTCCCTCACATTGGACTCAGACCTCAGGGAGGCTGGAGTGGCGTGCACTGGAAGGATATGGCGGCAGATCTGATGACTCAGATTCTGAGGTGTGGTGGACCTCAAATTTTTTTTCTTTTGCATTAACCAAAACAACTGTGTGCCTCTGGGAGGCATGCAAATGGAGGCAGGCAGGTGGCCAGGATATACCAGGAATCAATATAAGGAAACTGATCTGGATGGCCTGGATCTCCAGCGACTATGTTCCTGATGCGGGTGATAATAGCCAAGTCTAGGGTGCCCTCTGCTGGCCATCCTGCGTTAAAGGTGGGCCATTCCAATTCACAGAATCTCCGAAGCTTAGCTGGTTTCATTTTAACCCCATAGTCACCTGAAAAGCCTTCCCTAAAGTTAGCAAAGCATAGTCCTGGAGCACCATCGGCTCTTTGACCCAGAGGAGCCCATTTTATATGTGCCTGATAATTGCCAATGTCGCAAGACAGACAAATGAGGGGGGTGCCTCTTAGTTAGGCCACACAGATGCTCGCCTGGTCGCAACCCCAAACAATGAGATTGGGTGTGACTTAGCCATAGTGGGATCCTGTCGGGTGACTTACGATCAGGCAGTAGCCTGATCCCACCATAGACCATATGTCAATCACTGTAAATCGCAAGATGAGCTCACTCGGACTCCATAGCCTTCAGGGGACTTTAAGGGTTCCCAGCTGTGGATTCGAGCTTGAAACACAAGCGAGTCAAGTTGCTCAGTCACACACCATTCACTGGGAGTTTAAAACAATCAGTCCCTATTTATTTCCCCTAAAATCCTGGCTTGCTGTAAACCCAGTTGACCGGAATCACATCAGTCCCAGAGGAAGGGGACATGTCACCCTGGAATCACGTCAGGGCTCAGCTGGTCCCCTGTGGGGATCAATCTCTGCCAGCTCCTTACACTGACTACCCCAGGGTTCCTACCTGGTCCAGATGTCTGGTGCAGGTCTCTGTTTCATTCCACCAGTCAGAGGGCCCGGTTCTTGGCTCTGCAGCCTCCTTCAGTAGTCTGGAAGGAGACCCTGGAATCACATCAGGGGTGCACATTTCCTGGTTCCAGCAACCTCCACAGGCTACAGGGTCAGGGAGCGGGGACCCACTGGCAATGGGGTGTGGCAGTCTGTATCTCTCTGGTGCCTCCAAAATGTTGCAGGAAAATCATCAGACCAGCAAGAACAAGACTCATACCCAGGTGGATGGAGGAAAGGAAGTTTATTACACTAGCGGGCCAGCACCTGAATATCTCTAAAATGGCCCTGGCCCCGAGCTCAGAATGGTTGGGGTTTTTATATCCAGAAAAGTGGCAGCAAGCAAGCAGGGAGTAAGGAAGCAGACTTGGCAGTTAGCTTTTCAAGGTTACAATACATCATGTCAGCATGATGTGGACAAAGGCCATCTGCAGTTTGTAGTGGGATAGCTGGATGCAGAGGCCCCAGCAAGGGGGAAGGGCTTTACTCATGTTTGATCTTTTCCCTGGCTTTGATCTTTCTCTGGGTTTCCTTATCATGTTCTGCACCATCCTTTTGCAGGGAGTGTTAGGATTTGGCATGTCTTAGTCTCTTCAAGGTAACCTAAAGTCATAGATCACATCAAGCATGTTCTGTTTATTGGCTGCCTTTGTCCAGATCTTTCTCCAAACACTTCATGGATGTTCCTGCTCATCATAGAAGGTCCCTCTGGCATTGTGGGTGGAATCTCAGGTTCTGAGTCTCTTATTTTTCAAAATTCCTTGTTGGGACTTGAAGAGGCCTCTTATTCAGTGCCTATTTTCCCAACCAAGTTGTTTTGGGTTTTTTTTGGGGGGAGGGTTGTTTTTATTTGTTTGTTTGTTTTGTGGCACTTAGGCTTGATCTCAGGGCCTCACGCTTGCTAGGCAGGTGCTCTACCACTTCACCAACTTCATCAACCCCTGCCAATTTCTAGACCAATTACAGAATAAAGGCTGGAGGTGTAGCTCAGTGGTAGAGCACATGCCTAGCATGTGTAAGGCCTGGTTTTGATCGCTAGCATTAGAAAAAAAAAAGTTTCTTAATTAAAAAAAAAAATCACCATCTCAATAAGGCTGTTACCAAACACTCTCTCTCTCTCTCTCTCTCTCTCTCTCTCTCTGCTGGTGGAAACAGAAATATTGTTTACATGTAAAGCTGAAGTGGAAAATGTGATTTATTGTCAGTCAAATGTGCTTCCTGGGCTGGTAGAGTGGCTCGAGTGGCAGAGCAGCTGCCTAGCAAGCTCAACGCCCTGAGCTCAAACACCAATACTGCCAAATATATATGTGTATATATTTTTGGCAAATACTGCCAACAAGTGTGTATATATATATGTGCTTCCTAATACCAAACCTCAGAATGAAGCAGATTTACACCAGTTTTAGGTGAGGGAACACCCACCATAGGCTCTCATATTGGAGATCATTACAGGGCAAGGCCAGCCAGTGCCCCAGGAGTGTGCCTCTCCTGGAGGAGGGGACAGGAAAGAAGCAACCTCCAACCTCACCCATAATCTTGACATCTGATCACAACTTGCTAAATCTACACTCTGCCCCCAAGGTTGCTGTCCCCACTGGCACCTGCTACAGATCCCAGTGTGTCCTTGGGTAACAGTGAGTGTTCCCTTCTCAGATGATCTCTGCTGTGGGGTTTCTTGTACTAGAACAGCTCTTCAGGGCAGTCGCAAACAGAGGCCTTGGATGTGATGGTGAATCCCTGAGGGAGGGCTCTTCAGGCCACAGGGTACCCTGGAGCTTATGGTGATGGGAGGCGGCCCAGCCACTGTCCTGCGCTTGGACCATGGCTCTTTTGCCTCAGGAAACCTGATGGCCTCAGGCCCAATGCTATGGGAGTTGGCCTCTTGCTCCATCCTGCTGTGGGGCTGGACTGTATGTTATATCCTTAATGGAGGGATCGCCACACTGCCCAGGTTCCCAGGGCAGAACCCAACCTTGGCCTCTATGTCCACACACAGCCACAGAGCCCATGGATTGATCCCAGAAGCATTTCTGCCCAGCCTTATCCACCATCCACAATGCTGCCTCCACAGGCCTCATCTCCAGCCTTGTCACCCTATAGTTCATTCTCCACATGAAATTAGGTTCCACAGAGGCAGTGAACACTCCACCCCCACGTACACATCCATTGGCCTGGGATGGCATTTTCAACTGCTCTCAAGGGCTCAGGCCTCCACCTCCCCACCCAGGTCAGGCTTTGCTGCCCCATGCTTCCGTCCTGCCTGGTTCCTACGGATGTAGTGGTCCTACACTTAACTCCCTCTACACATGGCTTCCTGAAGCTTAGTCCCACAACCACTCTCAGAAGGGCAGACCTTGGGTAGCACTGGGCTTCCTTGCTGCTGGGTATCTCTGTGCAATCTATACAGGGGTGTCACCTCAGACTGGAGTTGACAACTTCCTCTTCACCCCACTTGACCTTGGCCTGTCCCTGTTTGGAAATGACACCTACTGACTTCAGAGAAATCAGCAAAGCTCTTAGGGTTATACTCTGCAGTTTTTAATAGTGTTAACATCTTCCTTTTGGATGTTTCAGAATGCAAAATCAAGGAGGAGAACCAAAATACAGTCTTGAGCCTAAAGCGGCTACCTTCAGATGAAGTAACAGTGACTCTGGAGAAACCACCTTTGGGGAGGACTGATCAAAAGTATTATAAAACAGAGCAGAGCTGCCTGAGTCCAAGCCCTGTTGGCCCCCATGAGGTTCAGGTCACACAGCACAAGACAGCTCCTGGAGGAGACAGACCCTACATGTGTATGGAGTGTGGGAAGTGCTTCAGTCGGAGCTCCCATCTCCTTCAGCATCAGCGAATCCACACTGGTGAGAAGCCCTACGTGTGCAGCATATGTGGGAAAGCCTTCAGCCAGAGCTCAGTCCTTAGCAAACACAGGAGAATCCACACGGGCGAGAAGCCCTACGAGTGCAACGAGTGTGGAAAGGCCTTTAGAGTGAGCTCGGACCTTGCTCAGCACCACAAGATTCACACGGGAGAGAAGCCACACGAGTGTCTGGAGTGTCGCAAGGCCTTCACGCAGCTCTCACACCTCATCCAGCACCAGCGGATCCACACCGGGGAGAGGCCGTACGTGTGTCCCTTGTGTGGGAAAGCCTTCAACCACAGCACGGTGCTGCGGAGCCACCAGAGGGTGCACACCGGAGAGAAGCCTCACGGGTGCAGCGAGTGCGGTAAGACCTTCAGCGTGAAGAGGACGCTGCTGCAGCACCAGCGCGTCCACACCGGTGAGAAGCCCTACACGTGCAGCGAGTGTGGCAAGGCCTTCAGCGACCGCTCGGTCCTCATCCAGCACCACAACGTCCACACCGGCGAGAAGCCCTACGAGTGCAGCGAGTGCGGCAAGACGTTCAGCCACCGCTCCACCCTGATGAACCACGAGCGCATCCACACGGAGGAGAAGCCTTATGCGTGCTACGAGTGCGGGAAGGCTTTCGTGCAGCACTCGCACCTGATCCAGCACCAGAGGGTTCACACCGGGGAGAAGCCCTACGTGTGCGGGGAGTGCGGGCACGCCTTCAGCGCCCGCCGGTCCCTGATCCAGCACGAGCGGATCCACACGGGCGAGAAGCCCTTCCAGTGCACTGAGTGTGGTAAGGCCTTCAGCCTGAAGGCCACTCTGATCGTGCACCTGCGGACGCACACAGGCGAGAAGCCCTACGAGTGCAACAGCTGCGGCAAGGCCTTCAGCCAGTACTCCGTGCTCATCCAGCACCAGCGCATCCACACCGGGGAGAAGCCCTACGAGTGCGGCGAGTGCGGGCGTGCCTTCAACCAGCACGGTCACCTGATTCAGCACCAGAAGGTGCACCGGAAGCTGTGAGGGCGGGCGGCCTTCGCACGGGAACGCCCGGCTGATTGGAGCACCGCACCGGAAGCTCTGAGGGCGGGCAGCCTTCGCGCCAAAACGGCTTGCTGACGCTCGGAGCGCCACCGAGCGGGTAGTGATGTAAGACGCGTTTTCTTTTCCTCGACATCTTGAAGTTGTTTCGGACAGCAACCCCACAATCGAACAGAATAAACTACTGGTAAAGATAGCCATAATTGTTTCTTTAACATTAATGAATTCGAAGTAAAGAACTTAAGTCGCAAGGACTAATGTCCCATTAACTCTCCTAAAATTGCAAATAACGTCTTTTCTTAGATTGCTACATGCCTTTCCTAATCATAACTTAAACTTATATGTTGGACTAGTCTCAGTAGTATGTTAAGATACTATAAAGTGCTGTGTGGATAAATTGATATAAAACTGTCATCAAGTATTACATGAAATGGCTGAAAATTCTGAGTGTGTGTAAATAACTTTTATATGAAAAAGGAAAAAGTAAAAACTTATGTAAATTTAGAAAAGCTTTCATTTTGTGCTTTAATTTTACTCAAGATCACTTAAATCCTAATACTTTCGTAAAAAATCAACTCAAAAATGAGTATTTTAGCCAGGTGTGGTG